TGTGAATATTTTGGTAGATTTAATTTTTTGGTACATTTTAAAACTGTTGTCAAAGTTGTTGAAAACATTTGAAGAAATTGTATCCCTGACTGCCAATTGTCAATTATTCCATTTTTTTGGAAACAGGTAGTACTGAACCCAAAGCCTTACAAATAAAGGGGTTAATTAAACAAAGTGAATACAAAATACTCATCTGGGTTCAGACCTGGAGTTCTCACTAATAGCTGGGATGTTTTTTTTTGGGATAATGCTCCAAACTCTTTAACTGATCCCATTTTCCAGGGCACAGCTCCTTCTGTCCTATTTATTTCCTTATCCTGCTCATTCTTCACTATAAAAAAAAATAATCCTTGGGTTAAAATTCTGCCAAAACCACATGGAGATAAAAGCACAGTGGGTTTATCACCCACACCTGGAGGGCACAGGAGTTCCAGAAGGTTCTTGGTGTGCAGACATTGATATGAGTGCCTGAACTTTGTGAAATTGTGAGAAATCTCTTCTGCTGGGAGAGCTGCTCAGCTCTGAAAGGCTGTTCATGCAGAAAATCACAGATCCTGGCTCTGCCTTATCCTCCAGAGACTGAAATCTCTGAATAAAATGTCTTTTCTGCCTTTTTAAATGAATATTAATAGTACAAAATCTAGTTTATAGCTCAGAACTTCCCAAATGCAAGAGAAATATTGAAATATTTAAGGCAACAGCAGCAAATTCAAATTTGCTTCAAACAAAGTGTGTGGGATCAGAACACCTGGGTTTAGTCAGTAGAAAAATGGGTTTTTGTGCTTGGGTTTCCTGGGTAAATTGCTTGGTGGAGGAGTGCTGGAAGCAGAATCTTCAAAGATTTAATTGTTAAAAGGCCTGGTTAATCTGTGTTGAGGATTTTTCTTCATTTTCTAAACCAGTAACTAATGAGTTTGCATGAGAATTAAGGAAAAATCACAGGGCACAAACCTTATTTTCATTTTCTTAGAAGCTATAGGGAAAAAAAGGGCACCCTGGGCTGAAGATTTAAACCTTGTCCAAATTCAAGTTTATCACTGCTGAGCTTTGGAATGAGAGCAGCTTGTTTTGCTCATTACCTGAGAGTTTTATCCAGCTTTTTTGACATTCTCTGTGGATACAAAATTGTCTGAATACTTCTTTCCTTGTTATTCCTCAGAACAAATCCTATCTCCTTTCATTATCCCATATTTTAAATTGTCATTATACTGTTCCAAAGGAACACTTAATAGCAGGTTATCCTCAAATGGACTGAAAAACATCACAAAAAGACAACAGGCTCTGCATTTCAACCACTCATTTTAGTGAATTTAACAGCTTCACTGCCTAACAACCAGAAGGTTGAAATAATTTTATGTTGTGTGAAAAGCTCCCGAAGTTTTATGCAAAAGGGACAGGTGGGTAAAAAGTGATTTTTTTTCTCTGAGTTTTTAATTGCTCACAGTCTGGAGCTGAGGTGCTGAATTTCAATGAGCTGCAATTCCTGGCTCCTGTTAAATTTTAAACCTTCATTTGGAACGTGAACTTTATGGGGTGGATGAACAGGAAGAGGTCGAAGGTTCCTTGTGGCTGTCCCAAAGGGAGTTTGCACGTGCTGCTCCCAGCACTGCTGGGCTGGGATAGTCTGGGAATTCTCCTTGGGTAAGTTTGGTTCCATCTGCTCCATCTCAGCTGAAATGGGAAGTTTTGGTGGGAGGGTTTTCTCTGCAGAAACAAGAAATTAGAGAAATAATCCCTGCAACGCTTCCTCTGCTCAAAAAGAGGAATTCCTTTGGCAGAGGAGGGTAAATGTGGTTCCCTCTCTGCTCTTGCCCAGCTCACTGGGCCATCATGAAGCTCAGAAGTGCAAGAAAAAGCTTTATTTGCTTTTAGGGATGCAGTGTTCTTCCCCAGCTGTTGATTTACAGCTGGGAGCCAATGCAGAATTCTCCTTCCCTTGCTGCAGGAGTTTTGTGCTTTCCTTATCCCAGCCTCAGAGGCTGATTAAATTGGTTTTGCAAGGATTTTTTCTCCAAGGATCTGTATTGGTTTTCCAAGGATTTTTATAACTATTGATCACTAATTTCACTTTTCTGCAAGCTTCAGCCCTCTCTCAGGACTGTAGCAATGTTCTGTCTCGTGCTCTGGAGTTAAGGCGTGATTTTACTCATTTGGTTAAACAGTTGTGTCTGGCAATAAGGCTGTTTAGTTTTAAACTAGTTTGGCTGCAATGAATTGAGTCTAATTTTGAAGGAACTATCAATTGTAAATCAGGTTTAAAATGTCACAACCACATGTAAACTCTCAATCCAGTTTAAGTTCATTTAGCTGGCTCCTATTCATACAACTATGGCATCAAGAATTTTAGAACCACACTCTGGGAACCAATTTGGGGAAAAATTTTAAAAACCAACCAACAAACAAACAAAATTATTTAGGCCTTTTTCTCAAAATTACCTTGTAAGGTATTTAGGTAAAAGGTAAATTGCCAATTAAGAGGCCAGTTCTGGCCTCTTCACAAAGAGTGGGCAATGCCAGGTGGTGTCTCCCAAATGCCAAATGTGTCCCCAGGCCAGGTGCTGCGCTCTCAGAAAAGTAATTTTCAACAAGGTGGAGCCCTTGATGGCCCCAAAGAAGCAACTGGTCAAAATCAAGGTGGTTGAGGAAAATACTAAATGAAATTAAGATTTATTCCTTGCAGAAACTGCAAATTCTTTGGCAAAAACAGAAGGGAGAAGAGAAAACCCATCCCTTTGTTTTAATTATCAATTTAATTTATCAATGATCAAGTTTAATCATTACACTTCATGGAAACGTGTTATTTGCAGTTTTGGTACTGTTTCCCCCAAAACTGTTGTGACTGGATAAAAATTGCTGTTTAGAATGAAAAGGTGCAATTTGGTGGAGGTTTATTTCGTGCCATATTTGTATTTCTGTGATGTGCAGGTGTGTGTGCAGCACAGCAGAGCTGTGAGTGCAGGCAGTGAGACATAAATAAATTTGTTTATCATTTAGATCCTGCCAACAGGGAAGTTTATCCCAGTCTGAGCTCGCAGAGGAGTTTGTGCTGCTGCTTTGCTGAGATTTCAGGATGAAATCCAGCCCAGGAGCCCCTCCAGCCTTACCTGGAGGCAGAATCAGCTGCAGCAGGAGCCCCCCGGAGCTTCCACAGGGGGATTGAGGAGAACTCCACAGGATAAATGTGCAGAAAATTCAATTATCGCCCCCAAAACGCCCATTTCAGGGGGGACAGTGACATCTTGTGGGCTCAGCTTGCAAGTCTCGCCAGAAATTCAGCTCTGGCTGCTTGAAAAGTTGATTTTTTCTGCTCTTTTCTGCTTCTGCCCGGGACTGGGGCAGGTGTGAACACCCAGCAGCTTTTGGGGCTGGACTGTTTGGCTGTAAGAAATCAGGAGGTGCTGTCCAGGTGATGTGCGAGGTCACTTTTGGGTTTCAGGATGTTCTCAGGAAAGTGTCACACGGTGAGAGTGACACTCCAAACTCTCTTGCTAGCTGTAAATCAATTTAAACTCAAGGCCTCCTGTTGGTTCCTCCTTTCAACCCCAAATGTGGAATGTGAGTGTTGTGTTTTCCTCCATCTGGATTTACAGCTGAGTGTTCCAGAGGTTATAAATATGTTTTCTGTGATCTGGATTTACAACTGAGTGTTCCATAGGTCAAAAAAAAATGATTTCTGTGATTTGGGTTTACAGCTGAGTGTTCCAGAGGAGGTCAAACAGCTCTGTTTGTGTTTTCCTCCATCTGGATTTAAGATGACTGTTCCAGAGGTTACAAAGATGTTTTCTGTAATCTGGATTTAAACTGAGTGTTCCAGAGGAGTTACCCAGCTCTGTCTGTATTTCCCCCAATCTGGATTTAAATTGAGTATTTTAGAGGAGGTCAAACAGCATTTTCTATGATCTGGATTTAAACTGAGTGTCCCAGAGGTCCAAAAGCTGTTTTAAACTGTTGTAATCTGGGTTTAAAGTGAGTGTTTTAGAGGATCTTACTCAGCTCTATCTGTGTTTTCCTTGACCTAGATTTAAAGCTAAATGTTCCAGAAGTCACAAAGGTGTTTTCCTCAATCTGGATTTAAGATGAGTGATCCAGAGGAGGTCAGACAGATTTGTTTTTCTCAATCTGGATTTAAATGAGTGTTTTAGAGGAGGATACCCAGCTCTATCTGTGTTTTCCTTGATATGTATTTAAAACTGAGTGTTCCAGAGGTCACAAAGATGTTTTCTGTGATCTGGGTTTACAGCTGAGTATTCCAGAGGAAGTCAAACAGCTCTGTCTGTGTTTTCCTCCATCTGAATTTGAGCGTTCCAGAGTTGATAAAGATGTTTTCTGTAGTCTGGGTTTACAGCTGAGTGTTCCAGTGGAGTTATTCAGCTCTATCTGTGTTTTCCTCAACCTGGATTTAATCTGAGTGTTCCAGAGGAGGTCAGACAGATCTGTTTCCCCAATCTGGTTTTAAACTGAGTGTTTTAGAGGAGGTTGCCCAGCTCTATCTGTGTTTTCTGTGATCTGGATTTAATCTGAGTGTCCCAGAGGAGGTCAGACAGATCTGTTTTCCTGAATCTGGATTAAACTGAGTGTTCCAAATGAGGTTACTCAGCTCTATCTGTGTTTTCTGTGATCTGGATTTAATCTGAGTGTCCTAGAGGAGGTCAGACAGATCTGTTTTCTATGATCTGGATTAAACTGAGTGTTTTAGAAGAAGATACCCAGTTCTATCTGTGTTTTCTGTGATCTGGATTTAAGCTGAGTGTTCCAAAGGAGGTCAGACAGATCTGTTTTCTCTGATCTGGATTAAACTGAGTGTTTTAGAAGAAGATACCCAGTTCTATCCGTGTTTTCTGTGATCTGGATTTAAGCTGAGCGTCCCAGAGGAGGTCAGACATCTGTTTTCTGTGATCTGAATTTCACCTGAGTGTCCCAGAGTTCCCAAAGCCATTTTGTGAGTTCTGAGTGTCCCCAGGAGGTTGGCCAGCTCTGAGTGTGCCTGTTTTGTGTTTCAGCAGCCAGCAGAGCAGCCAGCAGAGCAGCCACGACGATGACTCTGCCCGCTTCCTGAGCCCCTCCATGCCTGAGGACAGGTGAGTCTGTGCCTGGGAGCACCTCTGACACCACACCTGCTCAGCCCATTGATTTTCCTGTTAGTTCTCACAGCTGCTTAACAAAAAAAATCAAAATACGGGATTTAAATTGGTTTTATCAATGTCTAAAAAGGTGCATTTTTCATCCCCTTGAACACAGGACAATGAATCCAGCCAGAATTTTTGTCGAAAAACTGCATTTTTGAATTTAAAATTTGAATTTGATTTGAAAACGTGAATATGGGACAATGCATCCAGCCCCTGAAATAGCCAGAATTTTCTTTTGGGGCTCATTCCCCAAATTCCAGCTGCTGCAGCAACTTCATCAGACGTGCTGTGTGCTGGAAATTAGCACCTCTGATCCTTCAAAACCCACAAATGGAATTTCCTGGGTGGATCCTGTCCTCAGCAAAGACACCTCTGAGCTTGGTTGTTTTGTTCACTTTTGATGTGTTGTGGCAGTCCTGCACTCTAGATTGAAGCTGGATTAATTTGTGTGCAGCACCTGGGTGAGAACTGCTGTGAAGTTCCAGAAGAAACTTTAATTTGGGTTGATTAATGACCATTTCAAATTGCAGCATTGGCACAAAAGCTGTTGAAAAACTGATTTTTGTTGTTTATTTTGGTGCATGATTTATGGATGTTGCTTTGCTCAGAGCCACATGATGAGGAGTTTTGCTGCATCTTTAGGTCAACTTTTGAGCCTGAATCTGCTGAGTTTTCTTGTGCTGGGCATGAGCTGTGAGCCCTGAGTTATCACTGATTTATTTTCCTTGCACTTCTCAGAGCCATCTAAGAAGAAATGTGATTTATGTTGGTTTAAAAACTGCATTTTTCATCAGCTTGGAAGTGGGAAAATGCATCCAGCCCCTGAAATAGCAGGGATTGATTCACTTGAGAGTGACTCTAAGGAGACAATTAATATCCCATATTAAAATTCCACATCCCACGAGGGGTTTTGGCTCAGAATCAGCACTTGGGAGTTGTAGCTCACCTTTTTCTCCAATTATCCATCTCCCCATGGCTGTGGAGCCCGGACTAATTAACAAAACATCCCTAATTGACTGACAGGTAACTGCAGGAAATAGAGTGGGACAGCAGAGCAGGGGGGTTCTGAGGGCATCACCTCTGCGTGAGGTGAAATTCCATTTCAGCTGCAATTCCACAGCTTAAACAGGATTTGTTAACACAGTTCTGGGTGTAGCAGGAGGGAATCACTTGGAAGTGCTGCCTCTTTCAGATGGATTTTAAAGGGAGCAGTTAGGTCTCAAAGCTATTTATGCAAAGCCAAAGCAATGCTGAGCCTACTGACCTCTTATGTTTAGAACCAGCAATGCTCCTGCTGCCTAAATTTAATTACAATTAACCTCTCTTTGCATGGATCCTAAAATTATCCACGTGAGGGATAGTAAATTATCTTTTCTCCTGGTTTTTTGGTCTCATTTGCTGATGTAATTCCCTCAGCCTCCGCTGGGACAGTCTTCCTTTGGATATTGGTGGTTTCTGCTCATGAAACTTCACCAAAAAGTAACTCAAACACCCCTTTTAATGTAGGCTGGACAGGAATTAGTGAGAAGGCTGACAGAGCCTTTGCTGTCTGCTCTTATAAATAACACAGACGAAGGTTGTTTCTGAGGCATTTGAATCTTTTAGATCCCCCAGAAACTGAATGAGGAGGATTTATTTTTGCTGCTTTTAGGTGGTATTTTTTTTTTTTTTTACCAGTAACAAAGATTCCTCCAAGCACAGATTTGAAGCTCTGAGCATTTGTTTTGAAGAACTCCAAGGCAGTTCTGGTCCCTTACCCATTGACTATTGTACACCAGCTCTTAAAAAAACCCCTAAAAAACCCCACAGCCAGCCAGGATTTCGTCAGAGCTGTGGGATGTGAGCAGAAAGGAGGGCAGGGAGCTCTGGAAGGTGCACCTTGCCTTGGCACACTGCCCTGGCATCCCGGAGGAGGGCAGGAACAGGAGGAGCCCGAGATGCTCAGAGCAGGGAACGAGCTGGGACAGTGCTGAGAGAAGCTGCCCCAGCCAAAAGCAAAAGGCTGCTGAGCTGATTCTGAGCTGAAAAAAACAAAGAACACACAGCTGAGGATGGCTGGAACCCTCCCAGGCAGGATCCTCACCAAGGGCACCGCTGGTGGAGCTCCTTTCTCAGCGAGGCATTCCCAAGGGAGCTCCTGGAGGATTTAGGAGCAGGCTGAACATTTTTGCCCTGCTCTGGCTGCATTTGGGGCTCTCTGGCAATCCTTCCTCTGGAGCTGTGAGTGCTGCTGCTGCCTGGAGGTGCTGCCATGGTCCAGAAGCCCTTCCCTGGCACAGCATCCTGTGGCACGGTGGCCAGGCAGGTGTGCCACCCCTGCGTCTCCTGCCTGAGGAAAAAGCTTTCCCTCTGCAAATCCGTGTAAGTTCTGTCTCTGCCACGCCTGGGCTGTGCTGAGAGGGAGCCACGCTTCGTTTTGGGGTAACAATCTCCTTTCTGGGTGTTTGGAGGTGGAGGAGTTTAGTGGGATGTGCTGGAAAGGGCACATCACACTCTGGTGTGAATTTAGGGCTCAGTTCTTTGCTTGCTGATTGCCTGGGTGAGTCACTTGTGTCGCTATTTATGAAATCAGGAGAATTCCTTTTTTACCTCATGGGAAAACAGAGGTGGTGAATTAAGTCTGAGTTGCTCAGATGCTGAAACACCACTTCTGTGCAAGGAAGAATTCAGGCAGAGGGTCCAAATAATTGTGCTCAATTTAAAATAATCCCAGGGGTGGGGAAGGCTGGGATTGAGCCACAGATTTGGGTGAGATGTGTGCACATAAGAGACCCCATAATCACTGAATGGAGACAAAGTTATGCATTAATCACCTTGATTTTCCACCAAATTAACCCCAAATTCATGAGCCTGTCCCTTCTTGATCCAAGGACTTGTTCTTTGTCCGAGGCACCCATCAGGTTTAAGGATGCAAAGTGTGTTTTAATTAAAAATTAAGCTACTGAGGCAGAGGAAAGATTGGTCCTTAGACTCAGCCTAAGGAGGAGAGAAACTGTTGAAGAGAGGAGAGCGTGGAAAACAAGGTTGGAAGTGGAGGAGAGGGAAGTGAGTGGCAGTTTATGAGAGATAATAAAAAACTATTTACACAAAAAACCAAATAAATCAAACTTGTTTACATTTGCACAGCTGTAAATCTAAATGATTTACACAGAGACCATATCTAATGGAGGAAATGGGGAAGCACAGTTAACTGTAAGATCTCTTGTCTTTGATATATCCTACATCTCATCTTAGTGCCTTTATCTGTGCAGCTCCTAATTCTGCAGTTCCAGGCTGCAGGGCTTGATGTTGCTCTGAGCAGTCTAATAAGGATTTCCCAAATAATGGATCCAAACTGACAAGACAGCTTTCAAGGGAATTAGGGGAAAGCTTGCAACAGAGACCAGCTGAAGAAATTCTGTTGCCTGCTTGAATTTTCCCAGGAAGTTGTGGGGAGAGCAGAAAACAGGTCAAAGTTTGAAAATGGATGAATTCCATATTTTTTATGTTCTTAGGGCTTGTTTATTCTGCATCTTTCTCCCTCTGTCCTTTTCCCTTTGGCACAGCGTTCTGAGCCCCTTTTCCTGCAAAGATCCAGCACAGATCCTTGGTAGGAAGGGTCCTGATCCTCTCAGATCCCTTTTACCCTTCACAGATGGATCATCTTCAGGCAAGTTTTAAAACCTGTTCTGGCCAGGACTTGGAGGCTGCTGAGCCCTCACAGGCTCCCTGATCAGAACCTTGATGCTTTTGCAATAACTTGGAATTGAGCTGGGATTTGAATCTGGGTCCAAACTCTGAGCCAGTTTGAATTAATATTAAATACTGAGTTTAACCAGAATGCTGGGTGTTTCTTTTTATTGTAAAAACAATGGTTAATATTTAGATTATGTCCTTTTTCTGCCCCTTTCACCTCTGGCTGACAAGAGCAGCTTAAGCTCACCTCTGCTCCCCTTGGGTTGTGAGCCAGGCAGAGTCAGTGAATGAAAACACCACGTGCCCTCTGTTCCTCAGATGCCACCAGTGTTCTTTTCGGGTTTTTTTTTTTTAATTTCTGGACTTTTCTGGGCTGGTTCTGACTCTTGTGGCCTGCTTTAGCCAAGATGAGACCAGCCCTGCTGTGCTGTGCCTGTCACTGGGTGCAGGGGAGGCCTGGCACACTCAGCAGCGATGCTCGGAACACGAGGAGGAGGTGCAGGGGGGGTTCATGCCCTTCTTTTTCCTTCTCTGAGGCACTGGGCAGGCTCCTCACCCTCCCTCCTGGTCCAAGAACAGAGGTTTGTGGAGCCACACTTCATTCCAGGCTGGAAGGAATGGGCACCCCGTCAGCTCCGTGTCCTGGGAACGCTGGGATTCTTGGATTATGGTGGAGAAGAGGCTGGGATGCATTCTGGGGTGGAGATGGTGGTGGAGAAGAGGCTGGGATGCTTTCTGGGGTGGGGATGATGGTGGAGAAGAGGCTGGGATGCTTTCTGGGGTGGAGATGATGGTGGAGAACAGGCTGGGATGCTTTCTGGGTTGGAGATGATGGTGGAGAAGAGGCTGGGATGCTTTCTGGGGTGGAGATGATGGTGGAGAACAGGCTGGGATGCTTTCTGGGGTGGAGATGATGGTGGAGAAGAGGCTGGGATGCTTTCTCTCTCAGTGTGAGTGACACAAAGGTATTTCCCAGTGCTCTCTGAGCCTCCAGGTGTGGCTCACCTGCTTGGCAGTGCCCAGGCTTTGCTCCCACCGGAGCCCTGCAGTGGGGCAGTGCCCATGGCACAGGATGGGTCCCATTTTTAGCGTTGTTGCCCTGCTCCCACGCCCTCTCGGGGCTGGTTTCCCAAGCAGCCCTTGCTGTGAGGTGCCAACTGGCTGTGGAGAGCAGGGCTGCTTGTTGAGGGGATTAATTCAGATTCGTTCTGCTCTCCATTCTGAGAGGGGATGTGCGGCCACTCAGCCTGCCTGGGGCTCTCTGAGATGGTCTGAAA